GTTGTGTGTTTACAGAGGAGTTGTGTGTTTACAGAGGAGTTGTGTGTTTACAGAGGAGTTGTGTGTTTACAGAGGAGTTGTGTGTTTACAGAGGAGTTGTGTGTTTACAGAGGAGTTGTGTGTTTACAGAGTTGTGTGTTTACAGAGGAGTTGTGTGTTTACAGAGGAGCAGAGGAGTTGTGTGTTTACAGAGGAGCAGAGGAATTGTGTGTTTATAGAGGAGCAGACGACTTGTGTTTTTACAGAGTAGCAGACGACTTGTGTGTTTACAGCGGAGTTGTGTGTTTACAGAAGAGCAGACGACTTGTGTGTTTACAGAAGAGCAGACGACTTGTGTGTTTACAGCGGAGTTGTGTGTTTACAGCGGAGTTGTGTGTTTACAGCAGAGTTGTGTGTTTACAGCGGAGTTGTTTGTTTACAGAGGAGTTGTGTGTTTACAGAAGAGTTGTGTGTTTACAGAGGAGTTGTGTGTTTACAGAGGAGCAGAGGAGTTGTGTGTTTACAGGGGAGTTGTGTGTTTACTGGGGAGTTGTGTGTTTACAGGGGAGTTGTGTGTTTACTGGGGAGTTGTGCGTTTACAGGGGAGTTGTGTGTTTACAGGGGAGTTGTGCGTTTACAGGGGAGTTGTGCGTTTACAGGGGAGTTGTGCGTTTACAGGGGAGTTGTGCGTTTACAGGGGAGTTGTGCGTTTACAGGGGAGTTGTGCGTTTACAGGGGAGTTGCGCGTTTACAGGGGAGTTGCGCGTTTACGGGGCAGCGGAGGAGTTGCGCGTTTACGGGGCAGCGGAGGAGTTGCGCGTTTACGGGGGAGCAGAGGAGTTGCGCGTTTACGGGGGAGCAGAGGAGTTGCGCGTTTACGGGGGAGCAGAGGAGTTGTGTGTTTACAGAGGCAGTAATTTGTGTTGCTACATGTCTGTGTTCAGTGGAGCGAGGTGTAAAGCTGCAGGAACACATCGTCATCGGCACGCCGGGCACCGTCCTTGACTGGTGCACCAAGTACAAACTCATCGACCCCAAGAGGATTTCTCTGTTTGTGCTGGATGAAGCAGATGTGATGATCGCCACGCAGGGCCACCGGGACCAGAGCATTCGGATCCACAGGTGGGTTCCTGTCAGAACCAGGTGCGATGATGTAAAAACTCCACGTCTGATCTTTGTGTGTTTGACTGCAGGCAGCTCAGCAAGGAGTGTCAGATGCTGCTTTTCTCTGCAACCTTTGAGGACTCGGTGTGGAAGTTTGCAGAGCGAGTGGTTCCCGACCCCAACATCATCAAGCTGAGACGGGAGGAGGAGACGCTGGACAACATCAAACAGTTCTATGTTCTGTGTCGAGATAAGGAGGAGAAGTTCGCAGCTCTCTGCGATCTGTACGGCAGCCTGACTGTTGCTCAGGCCATGATCTTCTGCCATGTGAGTCAGCTGTGCTGTTCTGTCACCTCACTCATCACATCAGCTTCATGTCATTTCTCAACTCAAGCCGTAACCTCATGCTTTAACATTTCTCCAGTTTGCAGATGGTTTTAAAAAAACAGATATTTTCTGTCAGAAGATGATATGCTGAGTTTGTTTCCCGTCAGACTCGGTGGATGGCGAACTGGCTGGCTGCGAGCTTGACAGAGGAGGGCCACCAGGTGGCGCTGCTCAGTGGAGAGATGACAGTGGAGCAGAGAGCTGCTGTGATCGAACGCTTCAGGAGCGGCAAGGAGAAGGTGCTGGTCACCACTAACGTGTGTTCCAGAGGTGAGACTCCTGTATGCTTACCCTCTTGAGCCCCACGCCCCCGGTACCAGGGGCAAAACTTCTTTTTCCTTTTTCCATTTCTTTTAAAGGGACCTATTATGCAAAATTCACTTTTTAAAAGGTTTTTTTACTCAACTTTGGGTATATTTACTGTAAGTAAATGTATTTTTAATGTATATTAACGACAAGTTTTACACTTCCGTCATTTTGTGATGTCACAAGCCGTACGACAACCCACCAGAACCTGCGTTCAGCCCCTTATCTAGCAACCCCCGGGTGAGACTCCACCTCAATAATATAAAAAGCCGTCACCGTCTTATGTAATGCGCAGCTCATTTCACAACAAGCCTCTAATAGGTCAATGGGTAGAGTGTTGAGCCAGAGCAGGAGATCAGGGTACGAGACTGGCACGGACACTGTTTAATTAAAATTTTTTTTTCATTGGTTATGAACACGTTTTCTCATGTACCTCTATTGTTTAGCTTATTGTTAAAGCC